TATTTGTATAAGACTTTTTGGGAAACCCTAAAGCAAAACCATGAGAGTTTATGGTCAAAGTAGACAATATCATACCATTGTGTAGAGTCGTGTTCGTCTAACATGGTATCAGAGTCATGCCCTAAACTTAGCCGTGGGTTTATAATGGGAAATTCTAAAGCACATCCATGAGAACTTATGCTCAAACTAGACAATATCATACAATTGTGGAGAGTCGTGTTCGTCTAACAAATTTGATCTATAATTGCAGGTTTGAGATATTATCTTTGTGGGGTTTGTTTTTGCCTCCGCCGGGGGCGACGAGTTTGAGTATCTTTCTCGCCGGAGGGAAAGGGCAGGTTATCGGAGGGAAGGTTGTTGGCTCTTTGATTGCGTACGGACCGGTGATTGTCATCGCTTCGTCGTTTACCAATGTTGGTTATGAGAGGCTGCCGTTGGACGACGGCGGCGGCGGCGGCAGGGACCCGTCGGGTGGGTTGCCATTCTTGAATATGCCGTTGAACACGTCGGGGAATGAAGAACAGCTGCCGGTGGACGGATGGCGCGGTGGGAGAGCATCTTATTAAGCTTCAAGATTGGGGAAAAAAAGGTTAGGGAAATTGATATAATAATTGTTTAGATTAATGCTAATTTTATTGCGTTTGTGGTTTAAAGATCATTAGAGATTGGAAAACTTCTGTACCAAAACCAAAACCAAAGCAACCAACCCGATGAATTCCAATAATTTTCGGCAAATCTAAACCAGGTTTTCCTTTAAGTTCATCACAAAATATTTCTAGATCCCAATACACCAAATGCTAGATAGCTGATAAGAAGCACAATCCAGAAAACATAATATGTGCTCCGGCCACACTTTCGTAACTCCAAATACCCAGATTCGATATAGTCCTTTCTGTGATACTCCAACCCCCTAGCCACACTTTCGTAACTCCAAATACCCAGATTCGATATAGTCCTTTCTGTGATACTCCAACCCCCTATGAATTGGTTATTCCTAAACGAGTCATGAAGGGTATAACGAGAAAATTAATAATATTAATGTTAGTGATAGTATTATAACTCAAATGTTTGAAAATTAATAATATTTAATTTTTATAATAAATATTTGATTTTTAGATTTTTATAATTCTATAAGAAAAATAGAATTTCATTTAATAACTTAAAAGTTTAGTTTTTATATCTCAAAAAAAAAAAATTAATGTTATATTTGCTAGATATTCATTTTTAGCCAAATTAAATTTACGACTTAATTTGTTTAAAAAATAATTAAAAAAAAATGAGAGACGAGATGTCACGAGGTGGGTGCCACCTATTTCATCTTCCGTTCTCACGAAATTATTTATTTATTTATTTAGAGAATTACCACAGTAAATTTGGTAAATTTGGTAAATTTGGAAGGATCAAGTTCATGTAATTTTACTGTTTATTATTCTTTGATTTTTTTTAATATAGGTAAATTTGGAAGGATCAAGTTCATGTAATTTTACTGTTTATTATTCTTTGATTTTTTTTAATATAATAAATCATAATAAATCAACATATTTCATATATATATATATATAATTTAAATTTTAATATTAACGTAAACCTAATATTTAATTTAAAAATTATAATTAAAATCTAATATATTTATATTAAGCAGAGTAAAAAAATGGCAGTAACGGAGAATCACTCCCTTTCGAAGTGGATTCTAACAGATAAAATGAACATGTATGGTTGAGAAACAAATGAAACAAAACAGTAAATAATAAAAATTATTAGTTTTTGAGAGTAAGAAAATTTAACTACAGTAACTTCTTAGAGGCAGGAGTTCCGGCCATGTAGATGGTGCAGGGGGGTAAGAAAATTTAACTACAGTAACTTCTTAGAGGCAGGAGTTCCGGCCATGTAGATGGTGCAGGGGGTTCCGTCCAGTGCCATGCCGGAAGCCATGGAAATGTTGGCGGCGGCGGCGGCGGCGGCGGCGGCGGAAGGTACAAAGGAAGTGGGAGGATTATTGGCATACGTAGCCATTGGCGGCGGCGGCGGCGGCGGCGGAAGGTACAAAGGAAGTGGGAGGATTATTGGCATACGTAGCCATTTCATTCTCAGCAATCATTCCAGCTCTGGCCACATGAAGATCCATTTCAGCTTCCGCCTCTTTTGCTAGTCTTACCTCATGAGCCACCTCCACTCTTGCCTTTGCTAGCTCCTTCTCAACCTACAATTCTTGCTAGTCTTACCTCATGAGCCACCTCCACTCTTGCCTTTGCTAGCTCCTTCTCAACCTACAATTCAACCCTTTCATATAAACCCTAAATTTTCGTCTCGATTTAAAATCGTACACGTCTTTTTTATCACGGAGTTTCATTTTTTCTTAATAAAACGTCTCATTTCTATCCCAAATTTTAGCTTTTTAAAACATTTTTTAGATTTGAGCTAAAGAGTGTGAAATCGAGTAGATCAGTTTCTACACCAAGAAATGTTTTGTTCCTCACTCCAACTGATATTAGATCTTTATTGTCACATCGCTCGATGTCTGGCTCTGATACAATTTACAAATAGTTATACTAGGAAGAGGTTACCACACCCTTTCCCCACTCAAACTGATTTGTAATCTCACATTAAGCTAGTGATCGATTGTTGTTTGGTTCTAGGTGGACGAAGAGTTAGATGAGGAAAAAAAGTATTGAATGAGCCGAGCCGCAACTATGTTGTAGCTATCTCTTAATAATCGGATAGAGATTCAAAACCTACATGGTCTCCTAATATCAAACACCATTATAAAAGTTCTTTCTCATACACATTTAACAGTGAAAAACTGTCAGCTCATTTTCAAATGTGATACTAACATGAACGGATTTACGTGTTTACCTTCTCTTCGGCCTTTGCCTCGGCCTTGGCCTTGCGCAGGACGCTCATGTCGTGGAGTTTTTCCTTGACAGCTTGCATTTTTAATTTTTTTAATTTTTTTTTTTTTTGGAATAAAAAAAAATGGAATAGTTTCTTTAAAGTGATTTGAATGTTAATGATTAAATCTAAGTTTTGGTCATATTTATAGTTTAATTGCATTCACTCACTTGGTTTTTATTTGGACAATTGTAGAATAAGCATGAATTTTAGGAAAGAATTTGTGGTTCAATTGAAGCCCACTCTCAAATAATTTGTGGCCTTCGCANTTTTTTTTTTTTTTTTTTTTTTTTTTTTTTTTTTTTTTTTTTTTTTTTTTTTAATACTAGGAAATAATTATTTTTTTTTAAAAAAAAATATGAATATTGAATGGAAATCTTTAGATCCGGTTTATAATCATTTGAGTTTTATTTTCTAAAAGAAAACACGCCGATTTAGGGCATTGCAGTTAGGTATCACGGATCTCGGTATGATATTGTCTACTTTGAGTATAAGTTCTCGTGGCTTTGCTTTGGGTTTCCCAAAATGTCTCAAACCAATAGAGATAATATTTTTCTTCATTATAAACTCATGATCATTCTCTAAATTAGCCGACATGAAACTTTCATCCAACACCTCCTCTCGAACAAAGTACACATCTCCTTAATCGAGGCTTGACTCCTTTTTCTTTTGGAGTCTTAGTCATTTTTTACTATGTCAAGGCTCACAATACTTTTGTTCTGACATTTGAGGATTCTATTAACGTGACTAAGTTTAGGGCATGACTCTGATACCGTGTTAGGAATTCACAATACTTTTGTTCGACATTTGAGAATTCTGATAACATGACTGGAGCTTCAACTAAGTTTAGGACATGACTCTGATAACATGTTATGAATCACGGATCTCCATTGTCCACTTTGAGCATAAACTCTTATGGCTTAGCTTTGTGGGGACTTTGATATCAGTTAGGAATTACGAATCTCCACAATGATATGATATTGTCCACTTTGAGCATAAGTTTTTATAGTTTTGCGCTTCCTGATCTACCCCAAACAGACAAAAAAAAAATTGTATTACATTTTTGCTCGATATTTTACATTTTTTAATATAAATTATATTTAAAAATAAAAATTATCCATTAAAATTTTAATAATCATTCTTTCGAAGTATATAAATACATTTAAAAATAGAAACATAAAATAGGAGACGAACTCTAGATTGGCAAACCCTTCTAGCAAAGCTCCAAATTATTAGGCAATCAGTTTGGTTTTATGAAATTTACAGACAGAATTAATAGACATTTTTCCAACCAAGGACCATCTTTAAATCAAAAACTGAAACTGCTACTAGTTTTATACACTACAGATAGATTTAAGTTCTGGTTCCTGTCGACGATCTCTTCATCGTTTGGTACAATTCAACGTCGTTTTATAGCAGTCGACGTCGTTTTATTCAACCTTTGCCAGAATCCGAAGGACATCAAGACACATGACAGAAATGCAGCCATATGAACAGTGAACTTCTAGCTTCCACGATAGGTGGAAAATGAGAATGGTGAAAGCAGGAGAGGGACATGGAAGTGTTCCAGCTTCTGGGACTCCCTGATTTCGAACACGATAGAAACGTACGGGAAGAACCCAGCTGGGAAATACTTACCTGTGTTGAAGCTTATCCTGTATATTCCTGGATTTATAGCTTCAACCATGCTCAACAATTGGCCACTTCTGCCATCTTTGTCTGTTGCTGAAGACCCTTCGAGTGCCCAGCCACCAACATCAACCTCACCGAATAAGGGACGCGGTTGAGTACCAATCCACCTTTCCAAACGAACATCAATACCTGCAGCTGGAGATCCTTGTGCAACATCCAACACATGGGTTGTAATTGGTGGTCGAGTTCGAGTTAAAGTTTGTAACGTTTTTCCAGTTGAAGCTCCAGACGCAGTACTTAGATGCCCTCCGATAATGCTCACACGATCTTCTAGAGTTTGAAGATGAACAAAAGAGAGATTGTTACTAGGACATCTCAATCAATCTATTATTTTCAAAAAGGATTATGCCATATTCATCCATCTAGCTTAGCAGTTGAAAAAATTGGTTCAGTAAGTAAACCACTTAAAAAGATCAAGATGAATAGTTGATTCTTGGAATGCAAAGAATTAAGAAGTTTAATATCAATAGTTATTACTAGCAAGAAAAAAAAATTTCCTCATAGAAGAATGTGCTAGTTTTAGCATTCATTTTTAGACAAGCTGTGTTCTTAATCCATTCATCTCTTTGCCTTATGCACTCTTAATATAAAATTATGCAAGAAAACTAGTTTATGTTTAGTTGAACATGTTGGTTTTCCGACATTATATTTCACTGATTGTTGGATGAAAGTCCCACATCCGACTAATTTAGGGAATGATCATGGGTTTATAATCAAAGAATAGTATCTCCATTGGTTTCAGCCTTTTGGGGAAGCCCAAAGCAAAACCACGAGAGCTTATGCTCAAAGTGGACAAATATCATACCATTGTAGAGTGTTTATCTAACGTGGTATCAGAGCTATGCCCTAAATTTAGCCATGTCAATAGAATCCTCAAATGTCGAACAAATGACTCTAAAAGAAAAAGGAGTCAAGCCTCCCGCCTCGAAGGCATAGTAAAAAATGACTAAGACTCCAAAAGAAAAAGGAGTCGTGCCTCGATGAAGGGGAGACGTACTTTGTTCGAGGGGAGGTGTTGGATAAAAATCTCACATCCAGCTAATTCCCTGGGAATGATCATGGGTTTATAATCAAATAATACTATCTTCATTGGTTTGAGGCCTTTTGGGGAAGTCCATAGCAAAACTATATGGACAATTTCATACCATTGTGGAGAGTCGTGTTCGTTTAACACCGATAAATTTACTGTTCACTGAGAATAGATATAAGCGCAAGCTTGAAAGTTTAAGATGAATTTCCATGAAGATATGCACATAATAATACGAAACAGATAAATTAGTCTTTGCAAGTTCTTTTGTTATATTCATAACTAAGATTACCTTCTACTTTTCGTGCAAAAGCAGGAGGATAGCTCTCCTTTGTTGAAGAGGCATTTTGTTTCGTCGAGAAAAGCTTTGCAAGACGCAGTTCTGTTATTTTCATTTGCTCTTGAGCAGCAATCTCAAACTCAACTATGGGTCTATTTGAATACCGTTTCTGCAACAGGCAAAATTGCTCATAACTCAGATGAAGACAACATATTTGACTAGTTGAAGGGGGTTTTGTGGGGTTTTAGAACAAATCAACAACAAAACCAGTCAGTCGATTTCTAAGCAATGGCTCACAAATAAATCATAAGCAGAAGTAACCAACATAGCAATTCAATACAATGCAGCTTCTCATCAATTAGTTAGGTTTCAATAAAGTATAGAAGCTTTCGATAAGGACGATAAAGGTTTCTGTCTTACCGAAATCTGCACTCAACTTTGAAGAAAAAATATGCCAATGATAGAACAAAAACCAAAAAATATGGTAATCCTCTATCTGAACATCTTCACATAATGGTTTGCGTGATCACTATATAGAAAGATATTTTAGAAAAGATCAGGATCTACCTTTAATTCTGCAAGTATTTCGTCGGTGCTCCTTCCAGATGCACATATAAGAAATATAAATCCAAACTTTTTCTGGTACTGAATATTCCATTCAGCTAGCTCCTGCAAAGGCCATCAACACCTTGGAAGTCATTAACAGTAAATCACCACCCACAAACCCGT